CCATGATATCCACCCCCCCTAGTCATCACCCCCTTCTTTGCCGCCCCCGAGCGTAAGCTTCGGTGGTCCGCGCGTAGATCTCGATGGCCAGCCGGACGAGCGCATGGCTTCTGGCGCTTCGCTGGGCCGCGGCGCGGCCATCGGGCCGAGGGCGTTCCCCCCCCCCTTGCACGGGGGAGTTGTAGAATCGGCCCGCATCACAAGGATGCGCGATCAGGGTGCAAGGCCGACCAGCCATAACTGGGGGAGCTGTGGTCCTTACCCCCCCAGGGGAACCCATCGCATCGACGATCTCTCGAGAGGGGTGTCGAAATCGATGGGTCCCCCCGGGGGGTAAGGACCACAGCTCCCCCAGTTGTGGCTGGCCTGCAATCGGCCCGTATCAGAAGGATGCGCGATGAGGGTGCCAGGGCCTTGGACGCCCATTTCGAAGCTTTTCGAGCCGGGCGCGGCCATCGAAAGTCGCTAAGGACAGGCCGAAGGGGCAAGGATGCAACGGGGTACCCTTGAGAAGGATGCCCATCCTCATTATGCCGGTTGGCTGTACAAGTTCCCGCAAACTGATTCCTTCCTCATCCTTTTCCTCCTCCTCCTCCTCCTCCTCCTCCTCCTCCTCCTCCCCCTCCTGGACCCACGATGCCCATCTGGTGGGGAGGGCGGGAGGAGGGGATGGACACAGGAAGCCCTGCCAGCCGGGGGCGGGCCCCCTGGCCTCCTTCAGCTGAACTATGTTCTCGTGCTTCATGATGCGCAGTATCTTAACCTGGGCGCGCGGTCGCAGGCGCCAACGACCTCCAACGGCTCTGGGAAAGTAGAAGCAAAAAAACAAAAGCGAGGTGGGGATCCTCGTCGGCCTTTAAAGGGTTGGCGGCGCCCGCAAGGGGTTGGTGCAAGGGGGGTGGCCTTCTAAGGCGGCGGAGGGAGTCGTAAAAGGCAGAGGCCTTAGGCAGCCCTTGAGGCTTCCAAGGCGGTGCATCAAAAAGCTGGGCGGGCTTCCAAGAAGCCCCGTTCTGCCTTCTTAGAATCCCCGCCACCGCCCCCTGTTCCCCTGGGCGCCGCCAAAGGATGGGGTGGGGGCGCGCTGGCCCTGAGGCCTCCGAGGAACGTCCCGGGACGAAGCTGGTGCTCGGAGGTTCCATCCCCCGCGCCGATGCCGTGCGCGCACCTTTTCTTTCCGCAAGATGCTCCAAAATGCTCCTCGATGGTTCTCGCCGAGAAAATGGGGAGACCAGATGGTACCGATACCGCTACTCCCCGGACCTCTGCCGGGGTGCGTTCTGCCCAGGATTTCGAGGCGAGTCCAGCGAGGGCGACGAGGGCCGCCGAGGAAACCCAAAGAGGGGAAAACGAGGGCAGGGCAGAGGCACGGGCACCTCTTCTGAATCTCCTGTGAGGCCCTCGCCCGGGGAAGGAAATGCACGCGGGAGAGCGACGCCAAGCCTGGAACTGCTGCGCCGGCGCGGCGGCAGAGTGTGCCGCGCCGCGGGCGGCGCGCCTCGTTGAGCAGGGACCGACCGTCCCGGCATTCATGTAGGCCTACCGCGGGATGTTCTTGAACCCCCAAAAACGTTCTAAGAGCAAAAACAATGTTCCTAGAACACAAGCACGACGTGTCAAAACAAGACCGTCCCAGCCAGAAAGGTTCTAAGAACATGTCGTGGAAACCACATGAGGCTCTTAGAACCTTTTGCGTTTGGTAGGCCTATAGGCACGCCAGGATGCTTCGCCACTGCTTGAGGGATGTCGCCAACCCCCCTGGGCGCCGCGCGGGCACGTCGGGGATCTCCTGACCCGGGCCAATCCAGACCTGGGTCAGTCAGGCCTTGCAAGATCCTGCAAGATCCTGCAGGATCCTGCACCCTAAACCCGGGTCAACGCGAAGGATCCTGCAAGATCCTGCAGGATCCTGCACCCAAACCCGGTCAATGCGACCCTGGTTCTGCAGGATCCTGCAAGATCCAGCGCTCTGGCTGACTCCCGCTTCCATTGACCCCCGCCTCGAGGCTCCCGAGCCCGGGCCGAGGGCGACGCCCCGGCCTGCCGCTCCACGGCGCGGGCCCTCCTATGGGGAGGTCGGCGGCCTCCGGCCTCCGCCGAGGGTGGCACGTCGACGCCCGGATGCCTCAAGGGACGAGCCCCGCGCTGGAGCGCCCTGCTGGCAAGAGAAGCCCAGAGAGAGAGAGAGAGGAAAAAAAGAGAGAGAGAGAGAGAGAACAAAGAGAGAGAGAGAGAGAGTGAGATGGCTCCTCCTCCTCCTCCTCCTCCTCCTCCTCCTCCTCCTCCTCCTCCTCCTCCTCCTCCTCCTCCCGTCCTCCTTCTCCTCCTCCTCCTCCTCTCCTGGGATCGGCGGAATCATCATCATCATCATCATCATCATCATCATCATCATCATCATCATCATCATCATCATCATCATCATCATCATCATCATCATCATCATCAGCAGCATCATCAGCATCATCATCATAGCATCATCATCATCATCATCATCATCATCATCATCATCATCATCATCATCATCATCATCATCATCCTCATCCTCATCCTCATCCTCATCCTCATCCTCATCATCATCATCATCATCAGCAGCATCATCATCATCATCATCATCACCATCATCATCATCAGCATCATCACCATCATCACCATCATCATCATCAGCATCATCAGCATCACCATCATCATCATCAGCATCATCATCATACTTCCTCTTCAACATCATAAGTATCCTCCTCCTCATCATCATCAGCAGCATCATCATCATCATCATCATCAGCAGCAGCCATCATCATCATCATCAGCTTCATCATCATCATCAGCAGCAGCAGCATCATCATAATCATCACCATCAGCATCATCATCAGCATCAAGATCAGCAGCATCAACAGCATCATCAGCATCATCATCATCATCATCATCATCATCATCATTATCCTCCTCCTCCTCCTCCTCGCATTCCTCCTCCTCCTCCTGAAGTGGGAATGCACTGGAAGTAGGTTGGATCGCTGCCTGTCCCCTGAAGAGGCGGGAAGAAAGAAAGCACTCGATCCTTGAAGTACGTAGGCGCCTAAACTAAACTGTAACCTGAGAATCCATACCTACCTACTTTCAATGACCGGCAACTATCCCTCGACCCCATCCCCTTTCGACGTTCCGACTCAATCCCGACCCCCATCCCCATACCCCTCTATCCCTATACGGCGGGCCCGTGAAACTCAATCCGCCAGAAATCCAGGCCTCCTCCGCGTGTCGCTGCCGCTGCAGCCAGACCCGCCAACGAGGGAGAGAGAGAGAGAGACATTGGCACCTCCGGCAGCCAGCGCCCTCATCCTTGGCTGAAAGGACAAGGGAAGAAATGACTCTCGGACGAAAGGGCGAAGGGAAATGCATGAACATCAATGTTGAGGGGGTCGAACGGTCATTCATTGTCCCTGGGTGCGTGGCTGAAGTGGGGTTCCGCGGAGCAGATTGTTGTTGTTGTTGGTGGTGAAGGTGGTGTTGCTGCTGGTATTGGTGCTGGTGTTGGTGTTGCTGTTGTTGAGCTCTCATTCCTAAACAATCATTATTGTTGATTCCCACGTCCGGGGCAACTTGAATTTCTCACTGAAAGTGCTCCTCCCGGGGCTCGCACCCTTTTTTAACAAAGAAAGCGGGTGGTCACCGAACTGGGCTCCTGGCCCCCGAGTTCCAGAAACAACAACAGCAGCAACAGCAACAGCAACAGCAACAGCAACAGCAACAGCAGCAGTAGCAGCAACAACAACAACAACAACAACAACAACAACAACAACAACAACAACAACAACAACAACATTAACAACAACGGCTCTCGCCTGACATTTCCTCACAATGTACTCAGAATCGCGATCTCGCGCGGGATTTCCTTAAAAAGTATGCAGGGATCGCGCTGTCGCGCTGGACAGCTTCGTATTTGTTTCAGACGCCGCGCCCTCGACACTCAGGAATCACGCTTTCGCTCTGGCCTTCCTCACGACTTACTTGGGAATCGCGTTATCGCTCGAGACCTACTCGCGGTTGATTCAGCACGCACGCTTCAGCAACAAGCCTTTTCGACTTGGCCGCTCGGGCCCGCTTTCCCGACCTGCCCGTTAAGGTCTAACCCTCCCGATGGGCCCGTCTGGTTCTGCCACGCGCTTTCCGCTCCTAGCCCCCCTCCTGCTACTCCCGTAATCCATCCTTCTCCCCCCTTCCATCCGTCCTCTGATACCTGTTTCGGGGACTGCGCCAAATACACGCGATAGGTATGGAAGATAGAACCCCAGGGGGGTACGATCAAAGGTGAAGAGAACGGGTATTGAGTTTGGGGATATACGTGTTAAATGGCACGCGGGCAGGTAAGAGCGAACAGTCCTAAAATGATTGTTGCTGTTGCTGTTGCCTGTTGTTATGTTTATGGTGGCTGTTGTTGTTGAATTCTTTTTCCTTGAAGAATACATGTTGCATGTGTCAAATGATACGCGCCCTTCGGAGTTCGCCCTGTGTTTTATCAAAAGAAATGTTCCTGCTCAAACTGCGCCCCTGGCCTCCCGGCTACAACAACAACAACAACAACAACAACAACAACAACAACAACAACAACAACAATGGCTCCCGCTCGGCACTCCTGCACAATGTAGTCCAACATCGCGCTCGCATGGGACTTCCTCGCAATGTATTCAAACGCCGCGCCCTCGAATATTAGGAATCACGATCTCGCTTTGGCCTTTCTCACGACTTCCTTGGGAATCGCGCTATCGCTCGAGACCTACTCGCGATTCATGCAGCACGCACGCTTCAGCAACACGCCTTTTCGACTTGGCCGCTCGGGCCCGCCTTCCCGACAAGCCCGCTAGGGTCTGCTCGCCCGATCTGCCCGTCTGGTTATACCACCTGTTTCCTGCTCCTAGCCCCCATCCTGATTATTTCTCTCGTGCTCCATCCTTCCCCTGTTTGAGGGGCTGCACTGCATGCACTTGGCAGGCAAGATATACCCCCAAGCGGAGAACAACCCGTGCCCCAAAACCGTGCGGCAACCCCGAATCCACACTGACCCACCACACGGTGTGGTCGCCGCATCGTGTGGTGGACCAGAAAACAAGCGACACAACCTCACCTCTGGCCTCAGGGCGTGGGCTCTTGCGTGGCATACGCTACGGCGCCCGGTGGGCCGTAGCGCAACAGGGAGGGCCGCAGGTGGGGTTGTGTCGTTTTCTCTTGTTGGCCGATGTGGAGCCCCGCGACGCTCACCAACCTGGAACATATACCTATCCGTATGCTGGGCATCGTCGCCTCATCACGATGCCGATCTTAGGGATTCCATTGGTTTCTGAGGGCGCGTCCCAAAATGCGGCCGGTGCCGCCTCGTTCGGCGGCAAAAATCCGCGATTTCCCACGGAAACGGGACCCGTCGCTGCTCCCCGCCCCCTTCACCCATGTTTTAACGGGCGAAGAACGGTATAAAATAAACTTTTTCGCCGTCGGGGACACCTGCCCCAGGGCGGCTGGAAAGTTTATACCCTTACGGTGGCACCGTAGGGGTATATAAACTTTCCAGCAGCCCAGGGGCAGGTGTCCCCGACGGCGGAAAATCTATTGTATACCGTTCTTCGCTCGCTGAATGTTTGCGATCGCCTGACAACCTTAGGGACAGGGACAAGTCCGAGGCCGGTGAGACGCCCGGTCGTCCTCGGGCCGAAACCTGGGGCCCCCCGCGGCCGAGCGGGACGACCCAGGGCACCCGCGGACGCCTCTCGGCGAGGCGCAGAAGCCGGAGAGAGGGCCGCCGAGAAGCGACGAGCGCGCCGGAAAGCCTCGGCCTTCGAACCTCGCGCGCTGCCCCCGCCCCTCTCGAGGCACTGCTGGGCTGAGAGCGCGTCGCTCCGCCCGAGCTCCAGAGGCTGCCGCGGCCCCCCGGGCGCGGGGGGGCGAGGCCGCCCCCGGGCGGGGGCCTCCCGCAAAGTGGTCTTCCGGACGGCCTCGTCCTCCTCAGACTCTTTGAACCTGGTCGGGGGCGGCCTCCTCCTGCTGCGCCTGCTCCTGCTCCTGCTCCTGCTCCTGCTCCTGCTCCTGCTCCTCCTCCTCCTCCTCCTCCTCCTCCTCCTCCTCCTCCTCCTCCTCCTGCTCCTCCTCCTCCTCCTCCTCCTCCTCCTCCTCCTCCTCCTCCTCCTCCTCCTCCTCCTCCTCCTCCTCCGCCTCCCCTCCGCCTCCTCCTCCTCCTCCGCCTCCTCCTCCTCCTGCTCCTCCTGCTCCTCCTCCTCCTCCTCCTGCCCTCCAGCTCCTGCTGCTCTCCTCCTCCTCCTCCTCTCCTCCTCCTCCTCCTCCTCCTCCTCCTCCTCCTCCTCCTCCTCCTCCGCCTCCGCCTCCGCCTCCGCCTCCTCCTCCTCCTCCTCCTCATCGCCTCCTCCTCCTCCTCCTCCTCCTCCTCCTCCTCCTCCTCCTCCTCTCTCATCATCATCATCATCATCATCATCATCATCATCATCATCATCATCATCATCATCATCATCATCATCATCATCATCATCATCATCATCATCATCATCATCATCATCATCATCATCATCACCATCATCATCATCATCATCATCATCACATCCATCACCATCATCATCATCATCATCAGCATCATCAGCATCATCATCATCATCATCATCATCATCATGTTCATCATCATCATCATCATCATCACCAATACCATCATCATCATCATCATCATCATCATCATCGTCGTCATAATCATCAGCATCACCATGAGCGTCAACATCATCATAATCATCATCCGTATCAGCATCAGCATCATCATCATCAGCATCATAATCAACATCATCATCTACATCATCATCATCATCATCATCATCATCATCATCATCATCATCATCATCATCATCATCAACAGCATCACCAGCATCAGCATGAGCATCGTCATCATCATCACCATCATCAGCAGCAGCGGCATCATCAGCATCATCATCAGCCTCATCATCAGCATCATCAGCATCAGCATCAGAATCAGCATCATCAGCATCAGCATCATGAGCATCATCATCAGCATCATCATCAACATCCTCAGCATCATCAGCATAAGCATCATCAGTATCCTCCTCACCATCATTAGCATCATCAGTATCATCAGCATCATCATCAGCATTATCAGCATCAGCATCATCATCATCATCATCAGCATCAGCATCATCAGCATCAGCATCATCAGAATCAGCGTCATCATCATGAGCACCAGCAGTATCAGCATTACCAGCATCATCATCAGCATCATCAGCATCATCAGCATCATTAGCAGCAGCAGCAACACCATCAGCATTAGCATCATCATCATCAGCATCATCCTTATCATCATCATCAGCAGCAGCAGCATCATCATCGTCATAACCCACATCATCATCATCATCATCATCATCATCATCATCATCATCATCATCATCATCATCATCATCATCAGCATCATCATCATCATCATCATCATCATCATCATCATCATCATCATCATCATCATCATCACCACCACCACCACCACCAACCACCTCATCATCATCATCATCAGCATCATCAGCATCATCATCATCAGCATCATCATCAGCATCATCATCATCAGCATCATCAGCATCATCATCATCATCATCATCATCATCATCATCATCATCATCATCATCATCATCATCATCATCATCATCATCATCATCATCATCATCATGATCATCATGATCATCATCATCATCATCATCATCATCATCATCATGATCAGCATCACCATCATCATCATCATCATCATCATCATCACCATCCTCCTCATTAGCATCAGCATCATCATCAGCTTCAACATCAGCAGCATCAACAGCATCATCAGCATCATCAGCAGCAGCATCATAATCATCATTGTCGTCGTCATCGTCATCAGCAGCAGCATCAGCATCAGCATTAGCATCAGCATCAGCATCAGCATCAGCATCATCATCATCACCATCATCATCACCATCATCCTCATCATCATCATCATCAGCATCATCATCATCATTAGCGACATCATCATCATCATCATCATCATCATCATCATCATCAGGAGCATCACCAACATCATCAGCATCAGCATCATCATCATCACCATCAGCATCCACATCATCATCCTCATCAACCGTATCAGCATCAGCAGCATCGTCAGCAACATCAGCATCATCATCAGCATCGTCATCAGTATCAGCCTCAGCATCAGCATCATCATCATCATCAGCATCGTCATCATTAGCAGCAACAGCAGCAGCAACAGCATCAGCATTAGCATCATCATCATCATCATCACCATCATCATCATCATCATCATCATCAACATCATCATCACCATCATCAGCATCATCAGCAACATCATGCGCATCATCATAATCAGCATCATCATCATCAGCATCGCCATCGTCATCGCCATCAACATCATAATCATCATCATCACCACCATCATCATCATCATCGTCATCACCCTCATCATCATCATCGTCGTCGCCGACGTCGTCGTCGACGATATCTTCGGCAACACCACCGTCGTCATCGTCTTAACAATATTCAACGCTCTTGTCATCATCATCATCATCAGCATCAGCATCAGCATCATCATCAGTACCCACATCACCATCAACGCCATCATCATGATCATCAACATCACCATCACAGTCACCATGTTCAGCCTCATCAGCCGCAGCATCATCGTCATCAGCATCATTCACGACATGATAAGGGCCATCACCATCACCATCACCATCACCATCCTCATCATCGTTGCCCGCACAATCATCATCACCATCACCGCCACCAACACAACCATCATCATCAACAACATCATCATCAACATCAAAAACATCAGCATCGGCATCATCAACATCATCGTTATCTGCATTAGCATCAGCACCAGCATCATCATCGTCATCATCATCATCGTCATCGTCGCCCCTCCCCCCCATCAATCGTCCACTGCATTGCCAGCATGGCCCATCATCCTCGGAATCGTCGTGTTCTTCGCACTCCACCTTGAAATTTCTAGAACCCTGCAAATCCCATGTTGCAGCATTACTCAGCCATGCGTTCAACATCCCAAGCCATAACTCATAATTCAGCACTTCAGCAAAAATAACATATTCGAATTGTTCACCAGCCTCTCTCGAATACTACGTGATCGTCCTCCTCCGCCTCATCTTCCTCCTCCCTCCTCCGCCTTCCGTCCTCCTCCTCCCCTTTCAAATAATATCAAATCAAATGTGTTGTTGCACGTGCTGCGTATACGGCATACATGCTCATTGTCTAGTGGATTGAATGGGCCCAAGAACGCCGCAAGACGTGCCTAGAAAGCCTCCAAAGGGCCATCACAACACTGCAACTAGAGAGGCCCAAGACAGCCAAACGGATCCCCAGAACAACCCACGCGGGCGCTGGTGCGGCTCTACAGAGCGCCCCGAAAGGATCCCCAGACGCGTCAAGACGGTCAAAGAGGGCCCAAGAAACCCCCAAGAATTCACCAAAAGCCCTCACTAGGCCCCAAAGGCGGCAAAACAGGGCGATGCTTGAAAATGACATGGGGCGTCCCGACTCGTCGCGCTTTTCTACGACACCACACCCTGAAAGAAAAGCATCAAGGGCCTAATGGGTGCTTGCGATGTGGCGTAAGCCGGTGATTCCCGCATGCCCTGTGGGCGCAGGTGGTTGAGAGCGTTTCATCTTCGAATGGAAGGGTTGACCCTTCCCCAAACCTCCCCCCTTTGGTCTGCAAGGGGGGCGCGAGGGGTCAGAGCGTCCAAGATGGCCCACGATGGCTCAAACAGGGCTTCAGATGGCCCCAGATGGTTTCCAAGATAAGTCAAGAAATCCCGAAGTGGCCAAATATGAGCTCCAACATGCTTCCAGGAAACCACAAAACCACCCCACCCCAAGACGGTTCCAAGCGGCCACACAGCACCCCATGGAGACCCCACGAAGCCGAACTCATCCAAAAAACAATGTGGACTCAACGTGATGCTGGCGCATCTGATGGGCCTCTGAGGCTTCAAGATGGCACGGAGATCGCCCAAGAAGGCCCCCCAAGAGAGTCTCAGACGAGGTCCCAAACGGCCTCCAGAGGGCCCTGGAGAGCTCCTGATGAGATCCAACACGGCCTCAAGGGGGCCCTAAGACAGGATGTGTCGTGCTGCACTGGGCAGGGGAGCCCAAAATCGAATGGATAAGTCGGATCGGCGATCGAAATTCATCGAATCGGCGGAATCGGCAAACCAAGTCGGGAGAAGTCGAATCGGCAGACATCGGCAGGCTCGTAGGCCTCCGTTGAAAAATCGGAGGCCGCATCGGAATCCGATATCGAATCGAAATCGGAATCGGAGGCCATCGAGATCGAATTGAATCGAATCGGCCGCATCGAAATGAGCCCTGCACGGGGGCGGCGCCATTTCAGGTCGCCGCCATTGTGATTGACTCCTTCCGAGCCGGTCCACGGAAGAGGGCTCGGGACGCTCCCAGGAGAGCCCCGCACCCGCCCCCACGGAGCCTCGAGAGCCTCGAAAGGCCTCCTCCTCCTCCTCCTCCTCCTCCCTCCTCCTCCTCCTCCTCCTCCTCCTCCTCCTCCTCCTCCTCCTCCTCCTCCTCCCTCCTCCCCCTCCCTCCTCCTCCTCTCCTCCCTCCCTCCCTCCTCCCTCCCCCCTCCCCCTCCTCCCCCCTCCCTCCTCCTCCTCCCTCCCTCCCCTCCCTCCTCCCCTCCTCCTCCTCCTCCTCCTCCTCCTCCTCCTCTCTCCTCCTCCTCCTCCTCCTCCTCCTCCTCCTCCTCACCTCCTCCTCCTCCTCCGCCTCCGCCTCCGCCTCCGCCTCCTCCTCCTCCTCCTCCTCCTCCGCCTCCTCCTCCTCCTCCTCCTCCTCCTCCTCCTCCTCCTCCTCCTCCTACCTCCTCCTCCTCCTCCTCCTCCTCCTCCTCCTCCTCCTCCTCCTCCCCTCTCCTCCTTCCACCTCCTCCTCCTCCTCATCCTCCTCCCACCTCTCTCCTCCTCCTCACATCATCCCACCCCCCTCCTCCTCCTCCTCCTCCCCTCCTCCTCCTCCTCCTCCTCCTCCTCCGCCTCCTCCTGCTTCCGCATTCCCTCATCCCCCTCCTCCTCCTCCCTCCTCCTCCTCCTCCTCCCTCCTCCTCCTCCTCCCCTCCTCCTACTCCTCCTCCTCCTCCTCTCCTCCTCCTCCTCCTCCTTGGCGGTTAGCGCTGATGGCTCTGGTGTCGTGTGTACGACGCAGCCTCCCCCCCACCAGGGGCCGTTGCCCCTGAGGGGGGTTGATGAACTCCTCCTCTTCCCGCTCCTCCCCTCCTCCTCCCGCTCCTCCCCCCTCCTCTCCTCCCTCCTCCTCCTCCTCCTCCTCCTCCTCCTCCTCCTCCTCCTCCTCCTCCTCCTCCTCCTCCTTCTTTTCCTCCTCCTCAATTCTTTCTCCCTGTGGATAACTCCTCCCTGTCGCACCCCGAATCCAGTTTTTGGGCGGGCCGGGCGTTTCACCTGAGACTTCCTCACCATGTATGACTCTGAAGCTTAAAATTGACAACAGTTTCCCAGATGGAAGGCGGGTCGTCTTCAAAATGTGGCTCTCGCCTTAGCGCCGCGCACATTAATTTTGAATGGTTGCAAGAGTTGCACGGGTTGAGGGCGGGTGGTTTTCAAAATGTGGCTCTCGCCCTACACCGCGCACATTCGATTACAAGAAAATTGTAAGAGCTTCACGGATTGAGGGCGGGTCGTTTTCAAAATGTGGCTCTCGCCTTACACCGCGCACATGTTTTTTTTAATGCAAGAGCTTCACGATTTGTGGGCGGATCGTTTTCAAAATGTGGCTCTTGCCTTACACCGCGCAAATTCGTTTTTTGAACTTGCAAGAGTTTCTCGGATTGAGGGCGGGTCGTTTTCAAAATGTGGCTCTCACCTTAGCGCCGCGCACTCTCTTTTAAAAAATGTAAGAGTTTCACGGATTGAGGGCGGTTCGTTTTTTAAATGTGGATCTCGCCTTGGCGCCGCGCACATTTGTTTCTGTTTTGGTATGCAAGATTTTCACGGGTTCCCATGATCAACGTACCAGAAGTTGTGTTTTAGAAGGGATCAGGATTATGCGGGCGCAACAGTTATGTGGATTCGCTGTGTTGAAGTTCTGAAAAAGACGTTATGGCAAGATTCTGGATCGTCCAGACGCAGTAGTTAGGTTGAAACATGGCGTTGAAATCCCTAGAACAATGTTTTGGCATGCTTCAGGATCTTCAAAGTGTTGCCTTCCAACGAGGCAGTTCCCTCAATGGAAATGAACCGTTGTAGGGGCCTATGAAGAGGGAGCTTGGAGGGAGGGTTAATTCCAACATCGTCGATGACCCTTGGGTTTCCACTGGCCCTCCTCCTCATCCTCCTCTTCTTCCTCAGCATCTTCCTTATAAATCCGCCACCGTGCCTTTCAGGCACAAGTTGAGGTGCCCTCAGGTCCTGGGCTTATTCCCTTTTAACCTCATTCTGAAGGGGCCTGAACCAGAAATTGTAAAATCTCCTGGAGCATGACGCGTGCCCACATGAATTTTGGGGCCAAGAGGGGCCCAAGACGGGCCAAGAGACCCCCAAGAGCTCGCTCGCCTAGACGTTCCAAGAGGGCCCTAATCGCCGCACCATCGGTCCAAGACGCCCAAGATAACCCCAAGACGTCCCAAGAAGCCAAGAGCCTTCACAAGAGGGCCCCAAGAAAACAACATCAGTGATTCGACTTGGTTTCTCAATGGTTTGGGGGTCATCGACTTTTCTAGCTTCCAGCACTCCAAGACGACCCAGAAGGCCTTCAAGACCGCCCCAAGACGGCCCAAGAGGCCCCCGAGAAGGCCCCCAGACGGCCCAAAAAAGCTCCAAGACGGCCCCCAGAGGCGCCCAAGACGGCCCAAGACGGCCCAAAAAGGCCCAAAGACAGCCTCAAGAAATTCCCAAGAGGCGGAACACGAACCGGAAATCCGAGCCTTCTGCCCGAAGGGGCTCCCAGGAGGCCCCAAGGAGGCTCCAAGGGACCCCCAAGAGGCCCCCAACACGCCCCAAGAGGAACCAAAATGATCCCATGGGGCCTCAAAATGGTCCCGAAAAGTCCCCCGAGAGGCCTCCCGCGACATCCCACCGAACACCCTCGAGGCCTATGACCCACACCCCAGGCACGGCGGCAGAGTAAGCCACAAGCAATTCGATGGCTCCTCCCTGCCGCAACCCCGGACGTGTCAGTACGGCGGGCTGGGCGATGCGCCTGACACTTCTAGGGGGCGGGCCACATGCGAACCCCGCCCCTACCCCCCACGATTTCTGAGGGGGAGGGTGGGGTTCACTTCGCTCGGGAGCTCCCGAGCGAAGTGAACCCCACCTTCCCCCCCTGGAAATCGTGGGGGGTAGGGGGTGGGGTTCGCATGTGTCCCCCTAACTCCCTCGCCATGCTCGGTCCCGAAGCCTGGGAACTTGCCACCTCTTCGCGTCTGGAGAGCGGGTGGTTTTCAGCACATATCCATCGCCCCCTCTCGCCGCGCACCCTCGTCTCCAGAGGTGCACGGCCGGTCCACGGATGGAGGGCTCTCGCCGGGGCGCCGCGCACACTCGCTGTTGGGGTGGCAGCACAATCCAGGATGGAGAGCGGGTGGCTCCCAGAATACGGCGCTCGCCTCAGCGCCGCGCACGTGTCTGAACGGCTTGCAAGAGTTTCCAACAAGAGCGGGGCTGTTCCTGTTCAGCGTGTGGTTGCCGCCCTGGCGCCGCGCACACTCGTTCTGAAAGTTCGCAACCGTTTCAAGGGTTCGTATGGGTGAAGTCCTAGGAATAGTGTTCTGGCACTCGTTCGGATTGCCAAGACGCAGCACTCGCGTTGATTCGTGGAGCTGACGACTCAGGAATGGTTCTCTTGCACGATCTAGGATTACCAGGGCGCAACAGTCATGATGGTTCGCGGCATTGAGGTCCCAGGATGTGTTCGCACGATTAACGATCCTGAGACGGTTAGCTTCCAATGGGGCACTTCGCGCAAAGAAAAAATCATGCAGGGCCTTACGAAGAGGGAACTTGAAGGGAGGGTGTGTTGCATCATCGATAACGCGTCTTGGGTTTACACTGGTCCTCCTCCTCCTCCTCCTCCTCTCCTCCTCCTCCTCCTCCACCCTCCTCCAAGTAAACCGTTCTCCACTTTCGTCTCCCCCTCCTCCTCGTCTCATCCTTCCACGGCAGGTTCAGCGATTCCATTCATGGACTTCCTCAGGCGGATCCGAAACTTCGGCTTGAGGGCTGCCTCGCCTCTTTGTTGCACGGCATGCTCACTTCCCTGATCCGGGCAGCTCGGCTGGCGATCGTGTCTGTCTGGGTTGCTGGGGGTACGCGAAACATGAATAATGAAAACATGGTATTGTTGTTCATCCTCCTCTTTCTCGCGGCCCTGCTTATCACACCCTCCTCGTCCTCCTCCTCCTCCTCCTCCTCCTCTTCCTCCTCCTCCTCCTCATCCTCCTCTTCTGCGCTCCTCATCCTCTTCCTCCTCCTCCTTCTCCTCCTCCCCAGTCCTCCACCGCCTCCTTGATGGCGTGTGGGAGGGCTGAGGGGCATCGCAGAGCGGAGCGAGGCGGAGGAACTTCTTAATCGCCACCACCTCGTTGGTGTCCTGGGGCAGCCCAGATGGCGGGTTCTAAAGAAACGGCATCACTAGGACGTGCATCTCTTACTTCCGCCAGGGGAGAGATCTCCCGGAGCGCCCTAAGCCCAGACCCCCGACGTCGTGAATTTGTCATGACGTGGTTCCCCAAAGGGCCAAACCTTTTCTCGGGGACCGCATGTTCTTCCCGAGCCGTTTCGTGAAGGTCCCGAAGCCTGGCGAGGGCCACCCAGAGCCGAAAGACAGCGGAAAACCTCCCGTCGTGTTTGGTTCACGGCGCGATGGGGTATAGGGTTCGGTCAACCTTCACATCTGGCCTCTCCTCAAGTAGGTCCCCGCCCCCCCGGTGCAGACTCCTGCTGGGGTCCAGACGCACAAGTTGTTCGAGGCGCGTCTAGGTGAGGCGAGGAGGACGGACCCCAAAGGCCAAGAGTCGAGTAGGGGGTCGGCTACGGAATCGACGTACCCCACATGTGATTGTCCGTCGAACCTACGAAACGCGCGTAGAATGCCCCGTAGATCCACCAACTATTCTACGTATTTTCGACGAGAAAATAAATTCTGGGGTAAATTGAGCTCCTCGTGGCCCAAAAAAGGGTCCAGCTGAAAGGGGGTGGTTCAGTAGATTTGGAGCAATTGCATTGCAAATGCACTGCGCCAGCGAATTGTGTTGCAATGGGTTGCAACTTACGTATTGCACGCGGAAACCCAACAATACATTCTGCGCCCCAGCATGTATCGCACACCCCACGTCGACTGCAACCCCACAAATCGATTGCAAACCGATCTATTGCACAACCCCTTTTTCGCGGGACTTTTTTGGGTCAGCCAGACAATTCTGTAACTAGTTGATCCGAGACGAAGCTTAGGTCGGGCATGTCCCCCTGCAGGCGGATGTTAGACAAACAAATCCAACTACTCGAAAAAATACCAAAAGAAAATCAAACAAAAAAAAACAAAAAAAACACTGAATCCCAATGTTTAATATGTAACGTCTTGTGCTTTTTACTTAAAAACTAACTTATCCGCCTTCGAGGACCAGGCCCGACTTATGACGAGGCCTCGAAGCCCTCGATCCTCGAGGCTCGACCCTCGAGGTGTTCTGCGCGACGCGCGGCGCCCCAGAGGCGGCCCACCGCAGGCACGGACCGCGGGCCCCAAGCCCGAGCCCAGCGCGAGGCCAACGGCCGACGTCGACGTCGACGACGACGACGACGACGACGACGACGACGACGGACGACAACGACGACGACGACGACGACGACGACGACGACGGACGACGACGACGACGACGACGACGACGACGACGACGACGACGGCGGCGACGACGACGACGACGGCGACGACGACGACGACAACGAGACCTGCGCCCCCCGCCCGCGGCCGGGGCGCAGGGCCCCGTGCAGGCGCTGCTTCGAGGAGGGCCCGCCCCCCGAGGCGCGGGAGGCACGCAGGGGGCCCGCCTGGCGCGGCCCGCGGGCACTCGCGGGGGGCCTCGCGGGGCCTCTTGCACGGTTCGTGCGGCGTCGGCGCGCGCAGAGGTTTTTGACACCGCGTCGATCGTTCGATCTCGAAGCGATCGCGGCCCCGATTGTTCAAGGTTGAATCCAGTCGGGTGCAATGGCATCACCGTGCCCATCGGTGCTTCCGCGTCGCAGGATTCGACCTTGAACGCCTTCGCTGGCGTCGCCAGCGCGTCAACGCCGCAAGAACCTACCGTGCGCAGAAGACGTCTTTATACCACCACCGTGCCAGGCCAGGGCCATCCTGGCCCTGGCACGGTGTATACGCCCTCCTGGTCGAGGCCAGGAGGCTCTATACACCATCCTAGGGCCCCAGATGGCCCACCATAAGTTGGAGGGGGGAAGAAGGTGGAGGAGGAGGAGGAGGAGGAGGAGGAGGAGGAGGAGAAGAGGAGGAGGAGGAGGAGAAGAGGAGGAGGAGGAGGAGGAGGAGGAGGAGGAGGAGGACACCCTCCCCCTCCCACTCATGGTGGTGGTGGTGGGAAACAAGCCCATCAAAATGTATCATGTGTATCAATGCTTTTCGAAAGAACTTCGAGTGGGGCTTCGGCCCAACCCGCTGGCCACCCGGACAGTCCACCCTCCGTGGCTTCTCCCGCCCAAGACGGCCCCATCGATGGCCTCAGAGACGGCCAAGATGATCCAAAATGACCGTCAAAACGGGCAAGATGGCCCAAGAAACGATCCAAAGACACCTCCTCGATGACCAAGATGGCCCCAAGGAGGCCCAAGAGATCTGACTCCTCAAGAGTGCTATGAGAGGACCTCCAGGATGCCAAAATTCTTGATTTGCCATGGTTCAGTGCTCTCCATGTTTTTAGAGTTCTCGCCTTCTCGGGCATTCGGCTCCAAGACGAGCCCATAAGCCCCCAAGATCACCGCAAGAGGCCCCCTAGAGGCTCGCAAGACGGCCCAAGAGGGCACCAAAACAGCCCAGGAGGCCCCCAAGACGGCCCTAGAGACCTCCAAGACGGCCTGAAAGCGCCCAAGGAGGGACTCACGAGGGCTGAAGACGACATCTGAAGCCCAAGAGGTCCCGTAGGCGCCCCAAGATGGCTCCAAGAGGACCTCCAGGAGGCCAAAAATCCTTGATCTGCCATCGGTGTTTCAATGATGTGAACGTGCTCACCTTTTCTGGCATCCAACGCTCCAACACGAGCGGATAAGCCCCCAAGATCGCCCCAAGAGGCCCCAAAAAGGCCCGCACGACGGCCAAAGAGGGCCCCAAGTTCACCTCAAGAGGCCCCCCAGACGGCCCCAGAAACCTCCAAGGCGGCCCTGAAGCAGGCCCCATCCGAAGGCCAAGAGGCCCCATAGAAGCCCCCAGAGGCCGCTAAGAGGTCCCCTAGAGGCCAGGAGAACACCAAGAGGCTCAAGAGGCCCCAGGAACCCCCAAGAGGCCCCTGGGAACCTCCAAAAGGCTCCCAGGAAGACCCCAGGAGGCCCCAAGAGGCCCTCGAGAGGCCTCCTCTTCCTCATCCTCCTCCTTCTCCCTCTCCTCCTATCTCTTCCTCTCCCCAGTGTTCCCCAAAGGGGCTCCAAGATGGCTGGGGCATCGCTCGGACGTGCACTCCCCGTGCACGTCGCGACTTCGTGCCGAAAAAAAAAGGGACACGGCCGAGCGATGCCAAGTGGAGAGGGCAGGGGAGGCACGAGGCGGATCTGCATCGCTGCCCTCCTCCGAAACGGGAACGGCAGGCTTCCCCTGCACTGCTTCCCCCGGGGCCGTAGGCGACCCGAGGAGGAGGAGGAGGAGGAGGAGGAGGAGGAGGAGGAG